TTATTATTATTATTATTATTATTATTATTATTATTATTATTGTTATTATTTGTGTTGTTGGTAGTAGTGGTAGTATCCTGGGGCAGCTAGGCAGGGAGGAGTGTGTGTGGGGCTTAGCTGCTGTTCCCATCTGCCTCCTGCTGCCTTCATTCTCCGTCTCTGAGAGTGAAATGAGCTGAGCACATTCCTGGTCACGCACAGAGGCCGTCTGTCCTGCACAAGCTCTCACATCAGCCGCAGCACAATGGAGCGGGCTGCAGAGAGGCAGGCTGCTGTGTTCCAGACACACACATTCATATTTTAACAGTGACACACACCTACCAGGCTGACAGCAGACTAGGGAAGAGACTACAAATGATAGAGGAAGGACCACAGCTATTGACGAGACATTGCTTTTTTTTTACTTATAAAAAGGTGACCAAATCATCCAATAAATGTAGAATTTAATTTTGTCTCCCCAAATAACTGGGTTGTGTAGGTGAGTTCGATCAGTGTGTTTTACCCCTTCACTTTTGCTAATTGATTCCAGGTTGTAATAGAAATATAGAAATATAATTAATTCTAATGAACAAACAGCAGCCTCTGAAATTGCTACAAGGTGAAATCTACATACAATTAAATCAGCTTTAAGAAGAGAAGTTTGTGTGTAAATCTTTGTTAAACAGCACCAGCTTGTTTAAAGCATTTTTTTCTTGTTTGCCAATATAATATGTATTTATAACTGTAGCCTTTTTCTAATCACACTGTCGTAGGGCTGCAGTTAGCCTGTCTGCTGGTTGACTAATCCTTTCTTTGCCAAGATAGTACAATACACACATTGACCCAGTATTACCAGAGATAACTGATATATCTGTGTTTTCTTTTCCTTTTTCCGTCAGACGTTGGATGGTTTCATTTTTGTGGTGGCCCCAGACGGGAAAATCATGTACATATCAGAAACAGCATCCGTGCACCTGGGTCTGTCACAGGTCGGTTTGACAGGCCTCACACAGCTTTCTCTGGTCCTGCTGTGCCCCAGTGGTCAGCTTCAGGTTTGTTTTCCCAGGTGGAGCTGACGGGCAACAGCATTTATGAATACATCCATCCGGCTGACCACGATGAGATGACGGCCGTCCTCACCGCGCACCAGCCCTACCACTCACACTTTGTCCAAGGTAACCAGCAGCACCGGCATGTAAAACAGACCCCAGACAGACAGCAGCACGAACCACATGTCTCATTTTTCTGCAGAATACGAGATGGAGCGCTCCTTCTTTCTGAGAATGAAGTGTGTCCTGGCTAAAAGAAATGCTGGTCTTACCTGTGGAGGCTACAAGGTAGACATGTTGTTCTCCTAAACTGATTTACAATGGTTTCCCATCTTTGTGTTTTATCCAATTCGCTGAGAAAGTGCAATAATGAGCAACGATACACACATCAAATCAAACACAAATGAAGTCTCACAGACCTGAGGATGTATCCAATCCTCTGTGGTTTGAATCAGAGTGTGTGGCAAACAGTTCCCAGGAGGGTTTGGATGACTGGTACACAGAAGTGCTGACCTCCCAAAGGTTCTTCTATTACTTCTAATTGACCTTCCAATGCTAACGTGGCTGTACTTTTCACCTGAATGCTAAAAGAAAAAAGATGGGAGAGGCCACCAAGGCGTGTGCTTCTGACGGAATGAGTCAGTCATGATGCACAAAGTCTGCCTGGATATGGCTCTGCTGAAACGTCTGGGGTCCTTCTGAGCACAAGACAAATGAAACCTCATTTAAATCCAAATTTTCACATACAAGAACATTCATCCTGGCTTTCAGTTTTAAAGGCTTTCACTCTCCAAACTGATGTCAGCAGTGACTTGAGGCCCGTCAGCAGTGCACCTGGATAAAAGTCCCATGAAGACACTGCAGGGAAGCTCAGAGGAAAGTACAGCCTGTGTACCAGTACAATCAGTTAATTTATACATCTAAAACCTTTTATGTTACACAAAAGTTGCTGTCATTTTTCAGGCATCTGAACAAAGTGCTTTCTCTCCTTTTTCAGACCTTGAATAAATACATCTATGGGTCAGACAGTTCAGAAAAAGAAAAAAGAAAACAGAGAATAAAAACTTGTAGAGTACATTAAATCTTATCCTTAGATCTTTAGTTACTCAAACCCATTGAGTGCTTGAGCAGTAGTCCAAGCTATTAGAATTTGAAGTATTAAAAGGCTATTTTTCCCTAATGGTGAGACATGAGATTGTGATGTAAAACACGTGGTTCGATATGTGGAAACCATGAATATGATCTATCTAACACGCTTGCTGTTTTGCTTAAGACCTTTGACTCTGCACACATTCCTCAGAAGCAGATGAACTTTGTGGAGTTTTGAGCGCTCACCAGATTCACATAGAAAATAAAAGTTTGTGTGTTTCTAGTTTAGCGTGCCACCTGAGACCTTTCCCTTCTCCCATATTCAGACACACTGCCCACAACCATGTCTGTTCTCGACTCTGCCACTTGTGGACTTGGTCATGTTTAAATTAATATGGGGCTTCTTCAGGTGCATCGTCCTGACAACTGAAGAGTAAAGATTGGGGAAATAACATCAGGGGGAATCTCTATGACCACATATTGAAATCTTTCTTGGCTTCTCCGCTTTGTCCCTTTGAAAAGAAGTATTTGTGCATTTCACACAACAAAAAACTAAAAATGGAGAAGGCAAAGAGGAAATAGGAAAAAGACCAGTTTATTCCTTTATTAGTAATTCAGCCTTCATTTTATTAATCAATGCTGTGATTGTGAAGGAGATAAGGAGATTTCCTTCCCTCCCTTTGTCCCTAAACCAAAGAGCCTTTGAACCTGTTTCCATTGAAAAGCTGACGCTGTGTCTGTGTGTGCCTCTGGGCTCAGGTGATCCACTGCAGCGGCTACCTGAAGATCCGCCAGTACAGTCTGGACATGTCTCCGTTTGACGGCTGCTACCAGAACATCGGGCTGGTGGCCGTGGGTCACTCACTGCCGCCCAGCGCCGTCACAGAGATCAAACTGCACAGCAACATGTTCATGTTCAGAGCCAGCCTGGACATGAAGCTCATCTTCCTGGATTCAAGGTACCTTCAATAGCATGAGCTTTGTGTCTGCCAGCACACACAAGATACGTCTATTTATGTTTGGCTGGTGTGAAACTGTGTGGGTATCAAACTGCTTCCTTCTAGCATAATACAGTGGACAGCCATAACATTATGACCACCTGCTTACTACACAATGTTACGTCCCCTTCCTACTAAAGAATCCTGGCCAAATCATGGTCAAAGGGCATCCCAAGGGGTTCCAGAATGTGCCTTAGCAAAGGATTGTTTGGGACCTGCAGGTTGGGGAGAAGATCTTTGTGTATTGGGATTGCTTTTCCTATCAAATCCCCATCAGATGGTATCAGGAAAAGTTAGAGGTTGAGGGAGTATTGCAGCCTCCTTTTGATTTATGCATTTAGGAAACATTTTTATCCAAAGTAATTTACAAATAAGGATGCAACATTATAGTTAACATGAAAAATAAGACACAATGCACAAAATCACCAGTCAGACTCAGTTAGTGCCAGCGTAGAGACCGAGGGACGTTCAGCAACAGAAAGCAGGTAGTATTGTCAGGGCTCATCAGTGTCTATACATTGGTTTCTGTGTGAGTGTGTGTGTGGAAATGAGGGGTCTTTCTTTATCTCCAAACATTGTGAGTGGATGTGTTGGTATTATTTATAAAGCTGTTAGAGCAGCAGTTGTAGTTCCTCAGCCCTGGGAACAAAGAGCAGCACTGTAATTCTGATCACTGCATATGATGAAAACCTTTTGCTGTGTGTGTTTTCTCACGTTCATGCATATATATGTGTGTTTTGCTCAGGGTTGCTGACCTGACTGGCTATGAGCCTCAGGATCTAATAGAGAAGACGCTCTATCATCATGTCCACAGCTGTGACTGCTTCCACCTGCGATGTGCACATAATTTATGTGAGTACGGATTGATTTACCCTCAGCAAACGACATTTCCAGCACATTGGGCTATAAAGTGATAGTTGGGGCTGGTGTAGTGTTCTCATGAGTAGTTAGCACCTCAGCGCTACATTGGAGAAGTAGATAGCACATTTTAGGGTGATGTTCACTGACAGCAGGAGCAAAATGAGTTCACTTTTACCTTCTGAAGCAAGTCAAACCTCTAAAATTGAACAACACTGAAGAGAATCCAGCCGTGTAGATCATTACAGTCAATACTGATGGATCAGACTGAGTAACTTCTGTGTTGCTCCTAACCTAACATGAATCAAACTACAGATGCATCTTAACTATTTCCTGGGGAAAACATCCTCCTGGTAACAGGCAGGTAGGACTTAGATTGGCAGAAGGGGCTGGGGAGGGTGATGACTTCACTTCCTGCTTGAAGTTCAGACTTGTGACCTTTTAAAGGGACGAGGAAGTGTAAACATTTCTGGTCTGGAAAAACCTAACTGCATCCACAGATTTGAAATCAGGGGTTCTTTAGCAAACCTGAAAAGGACCATCTCATCCTAGGTAACGAAACCATTTCACATCCTGGGTTCATTCACTCTTTTTGGTGTGCAGTCGTCCTCTAAAATGGTCATTGTAAGTGACATGTATGTTCTGTTTTCTACATTACCTGGGTACTATCACTAAACAAGACCTTTTGTCTTGAGGCAAAACCTCTGGACTAAAAGTACCCTTGATTGATGAAGACAGCAGCATTACTCTGAGACAACAGGATATGTGTCAGTTTCTTTAGTGGATGTCACATCTGGAGTGATCCCATTATCAGGCTACTGATTGATTGAAACCAAAGTCATTTTATACCTGCTGTTATTAGTTGGGATTTTTTTCTCATTAAGATAACCTTTTGTTTTTTTCTCCCTTTTTTTGTCTCTTAGTGTTGGTTAAAGGGCAGGTCACCACAAAGTACTACCGGTTTTTGGCCAAGCATGGTGGCTGGGTGTGGGTTCAGAGCTATGCAACCATTGTACACAACAGCCGTTCATCCCGACCCCACTGCATCGTCAGTGTCAACTACGTTCTCACGTGAGTGTCAGAGCCCAGAGTCCAGAGCCCAGAGTCCAGATCCTCTGTAGGACATAAAGTCATACAGAGGATCTGGACTGCAAGATGTACTGGTATCAAATGTTATTTTTGTCCTCTATCTCCATGTCTGCTCTTAATTCATTTATTCTGGTGAGGTCGAAGCTTTCACATTTGAAATGGCACATCCAGAAATAAGTTGGTCTGGTACCAGCAGAATTAATGTTGTTGCTGCAGCTGTTTGGATCTGTTTGTGTGTGTGTTTGCCTGGGATCAGGACTTTTATAGCAGGGACCACAGTAAAGCTAATTATGGATTCATACGGCTGCTTTCGGATGCATTTATCAAACTTCAGGTGGGAGCTTGAGATCCTAATGAAGATCAGGTCTCATTGTGGCTGTGGCCAAACCCATAGTTACTGAATACAGGCCTACAGGTTTGTTCACTTCATGCCCCTTTCCTGCGTTTTGAAGGTGAAAGTCTCCATATGAACCGATTAGCTGAGATTTTACAGCCTGATGAATTCCAGCTTCAGTTCATGTCTCGGTTGAAAACAGAAGTGTTTGAATAGAGTTAAATGGTGTGACTTTAGATACTGTTGTGCACATGAACACAGGAGGTGTAGTTAGGATTAGAAAGGACGGCCTCAAATGTAAGGGGTCCTGGACCCAGACGCCCCGTCCCGTAGGGTGGGAGGCCTCCGTGACGCGGTCAGTTTCTGACTGATGTTAATCTAACACGTGTATAAGAGGGACCAGCTGGACAGTTGAGGCTCCCTCTCTGCCTACATCTGCTGTGAATCCCACTTTATGTTGCCAGGTGTTATGCGCTTGGGTTAGTAACCAGACAGCTGCAATTTGGGCTGTTTTTTAGTCTTGTTTGGAAATATTACTGCTAACCAACAGCCGGCCCGAGAGCACTGATTACAGTTGATGTCTTCACTCTGCTGGGCAACAGAGATTGGGAATGTCTTGTTTGTGTATATTTTTAAAAAGAATCCTACCTCTAAATTGTGGCTAAGTGTGGCATTATTAAATATCAGTTAACAGAAAAGTTATTTTGCTTGTATCATAGGGATATAAGCAGCTTTAAGCATCATTACAGTCAAGTTTAGGGGAGTTCTGAAACTGGGAAACATTTAGTATAATACCACTGAATATTATTTTTCGAGGAGTATGCAGATGTGTTGCTGTCTATACGCGTGGAGTAGAAAGGAAGCGGCAGGTGGGAGTCAGGCAGGTTTGGAGTGAAATCTTTGTGGCCTCAGGGCACAGAGGCCCGCTCGCTGTCAGTGTGTACGCAGAGAAGATAATGAGTGTTGGAACTAGAGATTTACGTAAACAGTTGCTGTGAAGCAATTCATCGTAGGTTAATTGGAAACCTGACATGTGTTTGCTGAATCCCGGTCGAAAGAATCAGTCAGTCTAACAAAAGTTAATTAAGTCACACTCAGATTCTTTCATTATTATTGTTGTATGCTTCAAAAAAGAAAGAATAAAGAAAATGTGATTGGGATTTTTTTTAGGGTTTTCTGCTGTCGGCAGCAGATTCTTTTAAATGTTGTCTTCTTGCATGCTAGATTTTTACCTCAGTGTGTATTCTGCAGCCGGATCAGAGGCTAGTCTGCCTCACCTGGAACTCTTATCCTGTGAAATCCTTTTTACAGACTTCTACACCATTGCAATAAAAATCTTGCATAAGTCTTGCTCTTGTTAGTAAATGACGAATGGCTTTTACTCTCCTATTATCCTGTTATTTTATTAGCTGTTTCACAGCAGTGGAGGAGAACACACGACTGAATAAAGTCAATAAAACCTATTTAAGCAGCATAGCTGGCTGCATTCAGAGGCAGAGAGCAGCTTGGTGCACATTATTTAAACTGCTGCATCATATCCCATCAAGCAGCTTTGAGTTTATGGCTTTTTAATTGAAAAGCTGTAAATTTGATCAGCTCTAATCGACTCCGTTTACTCCAAAGCTTTACTTCCCTCCCGTTCTCCATGTTCTTCTGCTCTTAGTCTTTTTAAAGCACTGGACGGAGTTGCACACCCATGTTAAAACTTAGACCTTTTTTGTTTGCCTTTTTTTGTGTTTTTTTTCTCCTTTTTTTCAAAACACTTTACACAAAAGACAGAGATATGAAGAAAACGGGCATATATTGATATCAGGAGCAGAGCTGTTAATGCCCACAGCCTTTGAGCAGAAGGCACTTCACCTGCTGGTGAACCCCCGCTGTGTGCTCGCCTCTGATAACCTCTGCACCTCCTGTCTCCACACTGATTTAGCAATCCGTATTTTACTTGTCTGATTTTCACCGTTACAGTGCTGTTTTATTCTGAATTTTTACAGCAAAGTCTTTCTTCTGCTTCGTGTGTACATTGGTGACTCCACAGAGTAGCTGTGGGGGGATTAGCATGTTTTAGATTCAGGAATAGTATTTGGCATCAAAGAAGCCACAGTATTTTGGGGATTCAAGCGACAAAATTAGAGTAGCTGTACGAAATGAAAGTGGCATCTGTGTATTCTCAGAATGAAAGTAATCTAAATCCTGTGAAATGTGCCTGCTTGTATATGAATTAGTGTTTGTGTGGAGAGGGATTGGGACAAAGGGGCGATGCACATGCAGAATGGATCACTATTTGTCTGGAGTAAACCCTGTCCAGGTTTTCTGTTGCCTCAAACTTGATTCATCTTCCATGGTGAGAACACTTAAGCGAGAAATCGATTCCCATTTCCCAGTAGTGAGACGTCCAAGCTTCTCCTCTGGGTCTGGTTTAGCCAGACATAGCCTTTAATCTCCCCGTGTCTTTGATAGGACAGCTTTTCCTCTGTAGAGTGTTTGTCGAGGGCCTTGCTGCAATCCTTCTGGTAAAACAAGCATCTCAACAGCCGTTGCAGCTCTCCGAGCACATCCAAACTCCAAACACAGCACACGCACACACTAATACACACATCCCTCCACATGCTCGCCCTCTCAGCAGGATAATGAGGTTCTAATTGCCAAACAGATGTTAACGGCTTTCTGCAGGTACGCTCGTGCATGAAAAGCCTTTCCAGGACTCTGGGAAGGAAAATCTGTGGTTTGCAAACGCAAACGTTTATTCTTTCATCTTCAGGGAGACAGAATATAAAGGCCTCCAGCTCTCTTTGGACCAGGCCACCTCTAAGGCCTCTTTCCCCTACAGCGGCAGCTGCCCCAGCGGCCTGATGGAAAACTCTAGAACCCCCCGGAGCAGAGCGCCCCGGCCGAGGACCAAAGCTCGGCACTCGCCCTACACACAGGTGAGCACGCCCTCGGACCGCCCCCCCCGCCGTCCGGCTTTGGCTGGTATGAGCTTATGTGAGGATATGTGGGCATATGAAGAGACGTGTTCAGGTCAGCCCAGCCTGATGTTAGGGAATTTAAAAACACACTCTTTCTGCTTGTCATGCCATGTTATTGTGAAGTATTATTCAAACCGACAAAACCCATGCTGCTTAGAACAGGTTGCGTAGATCAACGCCTTTAGTCTGTGGTCAGTGGGGTCCTTAAGATAAATAAATTAATCAACAAAATAGGGCGGCACGGTGGTGTGGTGGTTAGCATCATTGCCTCACTGCAAGAGGGTTCTGGGTTGGAGTCCCCGGGGGAACCAGGACCAGAGGGTTCTGGGTTGGAGTCCCGGGG